CTCATCAGAGACAGAGTGGGGAACAGAACAGGCAGATTGGCTGAAATATGCTATTGAGCCGAGCAGCAGTCAGGACAGGCAAGGTCTGCCATGCCGGGTGGGTCACCCTCTGACTGGGGATTGAACTGGTGCTGCAGTGACTGTGATAGCTTCATAGTGCTGTGCTTTACCTTTGCATCACCAAGGAGGCCCTAAAAATGGAAGAACTTTTAAAATGTTACTCATGATTATCACCAGATAGAGGGCTATAGAAGAAGGATATGTGTTTTTTACTTCCTTGTATTTGTTTATTTTTACTTATCAATTTTTTTAAACAATTTACATGCAATTAAAAATGTTGATATTAGAACCATAGAAGAATTAGATAAGGACAAGGGACAGTAAACATTTTAAACAGTAAAGTGGATGCTGAACAAAGATATTGAAAAGTAAAGTTTTTAGAGATAAGAATGTTTTCTATTTACCTCGTGGGTGCAGTGATTTGGCCTGCGGTGAGAGGAAAGATATGAACTTTTCCTTTTTTATGCTTAACATGCAAGATTATAAACTAGTTTATTGCCATATCATTTTGGAAGAGTGGAAGGAACTTCATATATGGAGTTTCAGACATTCTGCCACTCACTAGTCATTGGCAAGTCATTTGATTTTTGAACCTGCTTTCTTAGCTGTAAAAATGGCTGTAATTATATTACACTTGATTGTTCTCAGAATTAGCAGCTATATATAGTATATGGAAAGTAACTAATATAGTAGTTACTACTCAGTTATTAAGTTAGGCTAAATAACACCTTATTTAATATTTATCTGAGTAAGAATCTGTATCAAAGTGATCAGGGGGTTAAACCTCAGCACCATGACGCTAGCTATTCTCAGCCCATGCAGTATGAGTTTGATCCCGGCCCGGGAGCTGACCCACGGGGTGCACTGCTGTCTACTCCCCTCAGCAGTGTATTTCAGTCAATCCATCTGTTCTGTTCTCCGCTCTGTCTCTGGTGAATCCTCTCACTCCCCAAATCTCTGGCCAACTCCCCGGCTCTTGTATGCATAAATAAATAAAATAAATCTTAAAAAAAAAAAAAGGTGATCAGTCTATAATAACATAGCTTTATTCAATTTTATAGTTTAAAAATATTTAAAGATAAATGATTTAATTTCATTCCCCCACTAACCATTAGTGTTAAGTATTTATCTTCAGTTACTTGGAAAGGACATGAAAGTTCTGAGAGGTAAAGTATGCTATCCATAGTCACAGTACTAGAAAGAGTCAGGGCTGAGGAGCAAAACCAGGTTTGCAAATTGATTACAATTTCATTATTTCACAAAAATCCTTACTTGGAAGTGTATAACCATGGAATCGAACCAACAGACTTTAAAGTTTGTTTTTTCCACTTGTTAGGTGTCCTTGGACAAAATATACACATTTCCATGCTACAATCTTTTATGAATCTGGCTGGCAGCCAATGATACTGCTGATTTAATTTAGTGGTATATATCTTCTCATTATTTATACTAATGAAAAACATATCATGAATAAGTAAAACCCACTATATAAATGAAAACCCACATTTTAATTGCTTGTGCATGTAAGAGTTTATATCTTGGGAGCAATATAGTGCAGTGACACTTACTTGGGAACCAGATTCAAGCAGTTCTGGGTTCAGGTTAGAGACTGGTCCTTGAGCTGTGTCCTTGAGCCATTTAGTCAATGTTAGTCTCAAACTGTACTATCGTTTAACGATTGTGTGGGCTAATGTACGTCAAACACCCACGCAGGACTCGTACACAATGAACACTTGTTCCTCTTTCTTCATTTAATCTATCAGCTGGCAATCACTATCAGGCTTTGAACACAGGAGACAGAAAGGTAATTTCCATGATTTTAATTTATACCACAAACTAGCTTTACCTCCCTACCTGTTTTTGCCCAAAGATCCCCGAAAGGTCACCATGATGTCATGGGATTGTATAAACTGTGGTAGAGAGTCCCTCTGCTTAAACAGTCTCTAAGATTTCTTGCAGCTGTTCAGAAATGGAAGAAAACTGTTGTTTATCTACTACTGCATAACAAACTATCCTCAAATCACAACAAATATTTATAGACTCATAGTTATATGGGATCAGGCACTCAGGCATGGGTTGAGTGGCTGATTCTTTTGCTCCATGTGGCACCAGCTGGGATAATTGGTGGCATGTAGCTTGTGAGGATGGTATTTCTGGGTTTCTAGAAAGCTTCATTTGTTTCTCTGGCACTGTTGTGTGGACAACTTGAGAGGTTGAGCCCAATGGGGCCTAACTTTTCTCATGTAGTCTCAGGACTTTTCCATGTGGTGTCTCCAGTGAGGGGGTTGAGCTTTGCACATGGCAGTTCAGGAGTCAAAGGTCAACAATTCTGATTCTTCAAGACAGGATCAGTACTTGACACAGTGTTACTTCTGGCACATTCTGTTGGTCACAGCAGTCACAGATCTTCCCCCAGCCTAAGAAAGGGACACAAATTCCACTTCTGCATACATGTGAAGAGTGGCATGAAACCCATGTTTGTCAAAGACACAAGTAGACCTCTATTAAGTACCATTATACGTTAAATATTCTTCTAGAATAGCTGGTGACTTCTAGATTTGCCAATGCAGCTACGTCTATGAACTTCCCTACTCTATTATTTGGATGGGGAAGTTGGACCTGGAATTTCCCCAATACTTTTAATTCTGTGAATTGCTTCCATTAGATATTAATCTCTATCACCACTGATCTAGTGGAGGAGGAGATGTAATCTGCTATTCACCTATTGCTCAAATATCTACATAACTCACCACTTCTGGGAAGTCTTCCCTTGGCAAAACAGGAATAGTCAGTTTTCTTTCTATTTACTAAAGAGAAGTGCACCATAAGCCCTTAAAACTTTTTCAAAATTTAGAAAAAAGAATTGTTACACACTAAAAGTCAGAAGGCAGTTTCCAATAAGTTGCACTTTGTTAAATTGAAAAAGAGAAGGGTATTCTTTAGGTAATGGCATTACACTTTAGTTTTCAACAAAATTTAATTTCTTAGTTGTTGTAACTAGAGGTATTTTAAATGGTCCAAGTGCTAATCCTTTTAAGGAAATTAATTGCTGGGCTCAGTGATATTGGAGTAGTGAAGTAAGCAACAAACAAGGTTAATTATATCCTAGGTTAATTACATATGTTAATTACAGTTATACTACACTTCAAAACTTATTCTTAATTCCTAGTAAAATATATCACACATAACATTTCTAGTAATTTTTTTATTGATGTGAATAGATAGCGCATGAAGAATGAAGCTGTCTAGCCATTTCCATTTTAAAAAATCAAATTTCAATTAGCCAGAAAAGCTGAAATAGCTGATACATACATACTTCTGTGCTTAGAACTTTGAAACACCGAAATAAGTGGTAAGACGTATTAGTAGTATATTGACTATAAGAAGTATTAGTATATTTAGGGAAAAAAAGTCCCCAAACTCTACTTATTATATTCTTCATAGATGTACCTAAGTATTATTGTCTTTCATAAGATGCTGTGGTTTTACTAAGTCAAGAAACGACACGTTTTTATACTAAACAAAATTCTGCTTTGACACTAACCAGAGGAAATAAGATAGTTGTAAGCCAATCAAGAGTGCTTAAACTCCACTGTAAAAAAAAAAAAAAATAGCACGATACATTTCCCCCTTTGTGTTAAGAGACTAATAGATTCTTTCTGCAGCAAAGCTGGAGCCTCTGGCATTGGCAGTGATTTAGAGATAGATTGCTTTGAGGGCACTCTAGCCTCCGAGGGGCTGAGTAACACTACTGAGAAGGAAAAAGAGGCCGCCTCTAAAGTTAAAATAAAGTAGAACACATTTTTTTGGAGAATAGAGTGGTTGAAGACTGGTACATTTCTCATCTCAGGCGAATACAAACTGTTCAATTTTCATCCGTACTTTGGAGGTGCTTTAGAAAGCTTCGATAAAAATTATTAGAATACAGATGCACAGCACGCTTTTAGTCAGCCCATCTGAAGGAATTCTCTTTTGGTGTACGAACTTGTCTGCTGTTCATTCCTTAAAGATTTCTCCTATTCCTCCTATGTCAGCATGTAAGGGGAGGTGTTAGTGATGAGTCCTAATTTTATGTATCCTTTTTTCACACCTTAAGAATGTTTAAATATTTTAAATTCTAACATTTGAGTTGGGCTGGAAGTGTTTTCTGTATATTCTGGACAATTTCTGGCGTTCTGTGAGGAACTGATAAGCAATAGGTAATGATAATCAACACCTTTTATTTACCAGGGAACCAAAGATCGCTACTAAGCAAACCACTAAGCAGGGATGACAGCCAATCTCTCCTCTCTCTCGCAGTTTCTAGTTATTTACTGCGGTTTTAATGAGTAGCCACCAACTGGCAGACACAACAGCTTCATCATATTTGCACACAATTTATTTGGATCAATTTTCTCAGTCCATTTCTAACTAAGGTTGCCCAAAAGAGAAATCAACGGGAAACTCGAGACAAGAACGGAGGGTTTTGTCTTCCGTTGATTTCTGGGGAGGAATTTGGAACAGACTGGGTGAAATCCAGGACTATTTGCTTAAAGAGTAAAAAAAAAAAAAAAAAAAAAAAATCCAGTGTAGGGGGCCAGGTGGTGCTTAGGAGGGAGGGCCAGGCAAGACGAAACCAACTTTGGGTGAAGGAGAGCGAGCGAGCCAGAGACCGAGCGAGCTAGCACGAATCCCACTCTGCCTTCCTCCCTCGCACCCCTCGATCTCCCACCCTGCAGCTAGCTGCCGGACGTTATCTCGGCAGGAAAGCCCCGGAATCCCCGAGCCAGCGGAGACCGGCTTGCAGTAGCGCGCGGGGCCGAGGCCGCGGGCGTCTGGCCCTTTAAGGGGCCGGTCTCTGGGCTCCGCCGGCCCAGACGCCGGGACGTGCTGGGGCTGCCCCGCCCTGAAGCCGCCCGTTTCCTGCCGGGCGGCGCGACGGCACCTGAGTGACTGCGGCGGCGGTGCCTGCGAGCGGGCGGCCCGGGCTGTAGTGCCGGCGCCGCAGCGTTTTCCCGGTCTCCCTTCCCGGCCGCGCAGGGTAAGGGCGAGCAGGCCGCGTCGGGCCGGGGTGCGG